GATATCGTCCCGACCTGCTTACGTACACTCGTCGCACTTTGCCTGCCCCTTAATTGGAGAGGTTGGCATATTTCAACACGCGACTGTGTACACATGCAAACAAAAATAGACTCTCGTGCAGTTTACCACAGACTAATATCCGAGAGTTTTGTAAACACAACGAACTACATAAAGTTAGCGATTTTGGAACGAAATAGTCCATAAAAATGGTTTGATAATAATAGTTATAAGGAATAATATAACTCTAAATCATTTAAGTATTACATCTCCACAATCATATTTAATTTGTGCAAAATGAAATAGAAAACTGGAATTGTAGGGAACGGATAAATTGGATTGCTTCTGGGCGGTCGGTACGGTATAACGACTCCATATAAGATTTTAGATATTAATGCACTATGATTTGTTGAAGATTGGATATATTTTTATTTTAGAGCAAAAGTACATTTAAGGATAACAGATCCAAGATAGAAAATTAATGAATGAAAGACAGACCCAAAAACAGTTAATGGAAATTGTAACAGTCGGACAAATTTACCGAGAAATAGACAATGACATGCTACAAATAGGGTTCCTGTGTTATAAGGCTAACCTCAAATAAAGGAACATAGAGTCTAGCAAATGAATATTTTACATGTTTAATCAGAAATTGCGTACTTCGTCGAGATAAGGGTAAAGGTATCTACTTAAAGGGGTACCACCGACTCCGCACGATGCACTTTGAAAATTTAATGCTGCATAGTAAATGCTGTTCTGCTGGAATAGTTCCGTTAAAGACAATAATAATAATGATTTTCTTTGTGAAACTGAACTGCAAATTCTACAAAGGAATTTGTTTTGATTTTTTTTCTTGTTACTGGAACGCCTCAAGAGTTTCAAGGAAATTGCCAATGAGGTTAAAATTTCTTCCGTTTTACGCTATCGTGTTTACATCGGATTTTATCTTATAGTTTTATCTCTTATACGATTTGTCATTCACTCATAAAATTGAACGCTTGACTGAAATACGCAATTACGTCGCGAGATCACAGGGTAGTTAGATCACAAGAGGTAATATGAAATTGCTTACTCTCAAATAAAGCTGAGCTGAACGTCTTCGAGGTGAAGTAAGGTTGTGTTGGTGTTTTAGTACTTTGAATAAGATTAATACTAATTCCTGGAAAATTAGGCGGTTCCTATTTAGGAAACCGGAATTAGCCCTATCCAATTTTTAAGAGGAATTGTAATCCTACAAATCATCAAATGCTAAAAATAAACTTTCCGGTTCGTAGTTAGTGTTAATTTGACAAGTGCCTCTCTAATGATAAAACATTAGTATTAGTTCGTTTTAATTTTTTAATTAAGTTGTGGTGCGGGTAGTAGTACCGGCACCAACAACTTCGTGGGAATTTGACCTGTACGGCGTTAATCTTAAAGTTCAGATTAACATGGTGGTGAAGCGAGCGCAGCAGGGAAGGAGGATAGCAATAATGATTTTTAGCACGAGAAAATGAATGATATTATTAAGATTAATAGCAATTATATATTAGAAAGCAAATACAGATAAGCACAGAGAAATAAAAATGAGGTGAGAGAAATAAGGTAGCACTGAGTTGCTGTTCGTATGCGGGTGGAAGACGCACTGTGTGGCGGTGCTCGGCGATCACGTAGGACAGCTCGCATGCACGCGGCGGCTCGGTCGTTCAAGGTCTTCGTCGCTGACTCCCGTACAAATAACATGCACTCGGCGCATGCATTGCTGCGCGTGCAAGTGTAGTGGGCGTCAACCACCACCTCACCTGATTTAAGGCCGCGGTACAAAATCACAAGCGATGGCGATTTTCTTCAAATTATAAGGTGGTGGTCCAAGTGATGATCCGCTACATATTCCCCCCGGCCAGACCGTGACTACGGTCGATAGAAATCGGGGAACTTCACTCGTCTACCGCTTCTGGTAGTCTTCTTGCCTTCTGTTGAAGTAGCAGTAGCCGTGTTGCTAGTGATGGTTTCTTCTGCTGCTCTTGGGACTGGAACTTCCCTCTCGTCTAGCGTCGTATAGGCAGGTTTCAGTCTGTCAACGGAGATGTTGTTAGATTTACCTTTAATATCTATTTCGAAGTACTTAGGCTGTCTCCGTATGACTTTATAAGGTCCGGCATATGGTGGTTCCAGTGAGCTTCTGACATGGTCTCGGCGAACGAAAACGTGTGAGCAGGTATGTAGACCTCGCGGCACGTAGAAAAGTGAATTAGCGCCGCTGGTGTGCCAAGAAGTAGGTTTCGGACTGATCTTGGCCATATGAGCCCGTAGACGTGTGGCGTACTCTGTGACGTCAGCGGTGGTGTAGTCATCTTTAGGAGACAGGAACTGTGCAGGTAAGTTCAGTGTCTCTCCGTAGACCAATTCCGCAGGCGTGGCGTGAATGTCTTCCTTCCACGAGTTACGCATGCCAAGTAGAATCAGTGGAAGGGCTTCTGTCCACTGTGAAGGAGCATGGCACATGATGGCGGCCTTCAGTTGACGATGCAGCCGCTCAACGATGCCATTCGCAGCTGGGTGGTAGGCTGTAGTGCGGAAGTGATGTGCGCCCACCAAGGATGTGAGAGCCTTGAACAGATGACTCTCGAATTGGCGACCACGGTCCGTGGTCACCCGCGCCGGGCAGCCGAATCTGGCTATCCAACCAGACATCAAGGCAGCTGCGCAGGTCTCCGCCGTTATATCCTTTAAGGGATACGCCTCAGGCCAACGGGTAAATCGGTCGATGACAGTGAGGCAGTACCTGTAATCATTAGAAGGGGTTAAAGGCCCTACGAGGTCAAGATGAATGTGGGAAAATCGGGAAGCAGGCGTAAGGTAGGAGGAAAGTGGAGATTTTGTGTGACGTGAGACTTTGCACATCTGGCATTGTAGACATTGCCTAGCCCACTCTCTACAATCCTTGCGTATCCCTGGCCACACAAAGTGTTGCGTGACCAGTCGCACTGTAGTTGCTTTTCCCGGGTGATGGAGGTTGTGCAGTGAGTTGAAAACCTGTTTACGTAGAGACGGAGTAACATACGGCCGAGGAATCTGCATCGAAACGTCACAGTATACTGGCAAGTAGTTACTGCAGCTAGTGGCTAGCTTTTCTAGCCTCAGCGACGAGCCGTGCCGCAGTAGATCTTGCAGTTCTGGATCCTCGTCCTGAAGTTTTGCAAGCTCCTCGAAGTTAATGCCAGTTGCAGATACCTCCTCGATGCGTGACAAGGCGTCGGCGACGACGTTCTCATTGCCAGGTAAGTATCGTAGGTCTGTAGTAAATTGTCCTATAAAATCTAAGTACCTGAATTGTCGTGGCGAGCAACTATCTCTGTTCGTCTTAAAGGCGAAAATAAGAGGCTTGTGATCTGTAAATATTGAGAACTTCCTAGCTTCGACCATGTGTCGAAAGTACTTAATGGCTTCATAGATGGCAAGTAGCTCACGGTCGTACGGGCTGTACTTCTTCTGGGCATCACTGAGCTTGTGGGAGAAGAAGGCTAATGGTTGCCAGTTGTCAGCTTTCCGCTGCTGAAGAACCGCGCCGATCGCGGTATCAGATGCATCTGTAACAATTGCTAACTCTGCTGATGCGTCAGGATGGGCTAGTAGTGTTGCCTTAGACAGCGATGATTTAGTGTCGTTAAATGCCTTCAGCAATTCCGGTGTCATATTAACCGGATGTGAGCCTTTTACCTTTGAGCCAGCGAGAGCGTTGTTTAATGGTGCCTGAATCCTAGCGGCATTCGGAATAAATCGACGGTAAAAGTTGATGATCCCGAGGAACCGTCGCAGCTCTTTTACCGTCTTGGGAACTGGAAACTCCTGAATGGCCTGCACTTTAGCTTCTACCGGTTTCGTACCCTCGGCTGACACGTCATATCCCAGGAAGATAACCTTCGACTGTCCAATGTTGCATTTGGTTGTGTTTACTACGATGCCGTACCGTTTAAGACGTTCGAACAGTAGACGCAGGTGTACCTTATGCTCATCAGGAGATGCTGAGAAGACCAGGATGTCATCTACGTACCCGTAGCAAAACTCGAGTCCATGAAGGACCTCGTCGATGAACCTTTGGAAGGTTTGGGCCGCGTTCCTCAAGCCAAAAGTCATAAAAGGGAACTCGAAAAGACCAAAGGGCGTGGTTATCGCCGTCTTTGGAATGTCTTTAGGGTTAATAGCTATTTGATTGTACGCTTTGACGAGATCTATTGTAGAGAAGATGGTACATCCAGATAGCTGGTGAGAAAAGTCGTAGATGTGACGTATAGGGTACCTGTCAGGTATGGTGCGGGCGTTTAGTGCTCTGTAGTCACCGCACGGTCTCCATCCATCGTCCTTCTTTTTCACCAGATGCAGAGTTGCTGACCAAGCGCTTTCAGACCGTCGAGCTACTCCGTTTTCCAGCATACTCTCGAACTCTTTCTTAGCGATCTGCAGTCGAGTTGGATCAAGGCGCCTGGGCTTACAAGCTACCGGGGGACCTGGTGTTGTCCTTATAAAGTGCAAAGTGTTGTGCTTACCCGTTAATTGTTTACCTGGAGGCCGTGTTATCTCCGGGAACTCGCGTAAAATACGATGGTAATCAGTGTCACCCACAACAGCCTTTACAGATGCGATATCCGCTGTTCTACAGTTTGCAGCAGGTACTGAGAGGGACGTAACGTTGTCGATCAATCGCTGGTTTCTGCAATCTATTAAGAGGTTATAAAAGCTGAGAAAATCTATACCAATGATGGGCTTCCCTACGTCAGCAATAGTGAAACTCCAGCTGTAGTTCCTCCTAAGACCTAGATTTAGTTGCAGTTGAATAGGCCCGTAGGTATGTATCACGGTGCTGTTGGCAGCTACCAGATCATATCGTGATCGGATGCATGGCGTCTTGACAGCTGAACGAGGAAAAACACACAAGTCAGAACCAGTGTCCACGAGGAACTGCATTTTTGAGGTTCGGTCAGTTATAAATAGACGGCCTGCATAAGTGGGGCAGTCGTTAGCCGCTACTTGCGACCGCCCTTGCTGTTTTCCGATTTATACGTACAGGGTTCCTTGCAGTTCTTAGCCTTGTCACCGTAGGTATAGTGATAGAAACAGTGTGGGTGGTTTGGAGGTGGCTGCCGTAGTCTACTATTAGAACGGTCATACCTTCTGTGAGCGCTTCTGTGATAGCGGGAACGTGAGCGCGAGTGGTCTCTTCCTCTTCTGTTCATCTGCAGGGTGAGTGCCGCTACCTGTTTTGTCAACTCGGTGACTGTTCTTGCCAGATCAGTGTCGCTGGCGCGTGTGGAGGTACTGGCAACCTGCGGTGTCGTCGGAGCTATCTCGTACACCCTGTCTGCAATGTTAGCTAATTGTTCCACCTGTAACTCAGTTATTTGTGAGGCAATGACTGTCTGAATGTTTTGGGGTAACCGATTAGTCCAAATACTTTTGACGAAATCTGTAGCGCCTGATGGCCCAGCCAGGCTTTGCAAGTGCCGTAAGAATTGCGACGGTTTGCGGTCACCTAATTCTTCGTGGCAAAGTAATTGCTGTATGCGCTTCTCCTGGGAAGCTGACAACCGTTTCATTAGCTCGGTTTTTAAAATCTGGTATTTATTTGCCTCGGGCGGGTTTGTGATTATATCCTTGACTTGCAAGGCATATTTAGTTTCTAGCTGAGCGGACACATAATAAAATTTTGTTGAATCGCTCGTGATTCTCACGTCGGGGTCACCAATGTGGTGCGGGTAGTAGTATCGGCACCAACAACTTCGTGGGAATTTGACCTGTACGGCGTTAATCTTAAAGTTCAGATTAACATGGTGGTGAAGCGAGCGCAGCAGGGAAGGAGGATAGCAATAATGATTTTTAGCACGAGAAAATGAATGATATTATTAAGATTAATAGCAATTATATATTAGAAAGCAAATACAGATAAGCACAGAGAAATAAAAATGAGGTGAGAGAAATAAGGTAGCACTGAGTTGCTGTTCGTATGCGGGTGGAAGACGCACTGTGTGGCGGTGCTCGGCGATCACGTAGGACAGCTCGCATGCACGCGGCGGCTCGGTCGTTCAAGGTCTTCGTCGCTGACTCCCGTACAAATAACATGCACTCGGCGCATGCATTGCTGCGCGTGCAAGTGTAGTGGGCGTCAACCACCACCTCACCTGATTTAAGGCCGCGGTACAAAATCACAAGCGATGGCGATTTTCTTCAAATTATAAGGTGGTGGTCCAAGTGATGATCCGCTACAAAGTTTACTTCAAAATCTTGGCATGTTTGAAATTAAAAACGTGTAATATTTTTATATTATACAACTGAGAATATCGTATCTGATAATTCATTTTCCCTTTCTTTTCGTTGTCTATCCCTAGAGCGTTTAGTTTAAAAGGAAAACTGTAACTGAAATCGTCATTATCTTTTATTAAGCCGTCGATAACGAACTGAGCGTCGAGCTCTTGGCGTCTTTTCCCTTTTTTTGTATTGTCCCCTAATCGCCACTTTGTTATTCAATTTGGAGTGTTGCCAGCAACCGGCCTATTAAATAATACCGCGCTGAATCGGAAGATTCGCCGGCGCGCCAGTAGATATAATAGTTTGCTTCCTGATAAAATTTTTAGTGAAATATTCTCGAAGCTCAGTACCTGGGAGCATCGTTTAAAAACTGCTTTGTAGATAAATTTTTGTTTCGAAATGTATTATTCTACGTTTTTTTTATGTAGAAATCGTGTCATGTCTTTATGTTTCAGTAGCAGAGCGTTTGGTTTTAGTGTTTAAATGGCAAGTTCGTACATTTGGTACACATTCAAAACTACGTTAATATACACACATTAAAGAATATTTTGTCGAATAATGTTATAACACAATAAGCATCGACTTAATTTATTCTGTGTTTTAATTTTACACAATAATTTTTTCAGGAAAAAATCGAGTTCTATTCTTAATATATGTAACTATATTTTTATGATAAGTAGCTTGTGAGTAGGTGCAGTTAAACCGTCATTAAATGCGTCAATGCATGTAATGATTGCTCCTGCTCATATTAATTACAAGACTGGCAGATTATGGTCCATTAAATCTTAATTATTTTAATACGATAACAAGGTATTGAAGATGCAATGACGACGTTTAGTGTATATAGGCTATTAAAAGATGAATGAGAGTTATGCTAATTCTGTACGATAAAATGTACAAAGTGGTAGCTGGGGTACAATCGACCGAGTTTGCGTGACGGCAGTAAACGTGCACACACGATATGTTTTAGACTGTGATTTTTGTGTCGTAAAACAACAACGACTAAATTACATATTGGTATGCGGGTCACTAAATCATTTGTATTTATTTAGATTTCAAGAAACTTTGCAAAATATTTGGCCTTTATTTAGAGACAGGCATTATTTTTAAACTAAAACAGTTAACGAAATTTTGTATCGAACAAATAAGTAGTAGGCATCCTGATTTAAGTAAACAGTTCTGTCAAACCGTAGTTTTGTAGGAAATAGTGTCACACAGTCAAACTAAACCTTATCCTAGGTACATGATCCAACTGTATTTATGTTAAAGGTCTGTACCCCGCTTAAGGAATTAACGGCTTTATATACAGTATAGTATCATGTACATTAGTTTGACCTACGCCCGTCTAATGCCGCGGTGTATGATGTCGTCTCACTAATGCCCTTAAATACACGTAATTGGACGATTTACAATAGATGTTATTATAGAGTTATTACGTGGACGTTTTAATGTGAGTTGAGGTTCAAATAATTCAGAATGTCACTAATGTATAGCCATTGTATTGCTGATATTTATTATGTAGTTGACAATTTGACAATAATGCTTGATGCCTGTTAATAACTGATATTCGATTGTTTAATATGATCCATACTCGTTTCATGATCAGTTTTCCATCAAATTTTACGAAAAAATTATTGAAGATTTCCAATCATCCTTACATTAGTAATAAACTTTCCGATGTATAATATTAATTATATATCGGAAAGTGAGTTTGTTTGGTTGTTCCGCTACGCCATGCCATGCCATGCTATGCCATGTCATGCTACGCCATGTCATGCTACGCCTTGCCATGCTATGCTACGCCACGCATGCTACGCCACGCCATGCTATGTCAGCCATGCTACGCCACGCCATGCTATGCTACGACATGCTATGCTACGCCATGTCATGCTAGGGCACGTTACGCCATTCTAGGCTATGCTAGGCCATTCTATGCCACGCTACGCCATGCCCATGCCATGCTACGCCATGCGATGCTATGCTAGGCAATGCTACGCCATGCTACGCTATGCCATGCTACGCTATGCCATGCTACGCTATGCAACGCCATGCTACGCCATGCCATGCCATGCTATGCCATGCCATGCAACGTCGTGCCATGCTACGCAATGCTATGCTACGCCACGCATGCTACGCCATGCTAGGGCACACTACGCCATTCTAGGTTATGCTAGGCCATGCTACGCCACGCTACACCATGCCATGCCATGCTACGTTACGCCACGCAATGCTATGCCATGCCATGCTATGCCATGCCATGCTATGCCATGCCATGCTATGCTATGCCATGCTAAGCGATGCTATGCTACGCCATGCTATGTCAGCCATGCTACGCCATGCTATGTCAGCCATGCTACGCCACGCCATGGTATGTTACGCCATGCTATGCCATGCTATGCTACGACATGCCATGCTACGCCATGTCATGCTACGCCATGCCATGCTACGCCATGTTATGCTACGCCATGCCATGCTACGCCATGCTAGGGCACGCTACGCCATTCTAGGCCGTGCTAGGTCATGCTATGCCATGCTACGCCATGTCATGCTACGCCACGCTAAGCGATGCCATGCTATGTTACGCCATGCCATGCTATGTTACGCCATGCTATACCATGTCATGCTACGCCATGTCATGTTACGCCATGCCATGTTACGCAGCGCCATGCTTCGCCACGCCATGCAAAGCCATGCTATGTTATACTGTGCTGTGCTATAATATCCTATGCTATGCTTTGCCACGTTGTGCTATACTGTGTATACTATGTTGTGCTATGCTAAGCTATGCAATGCTATGCAATGCTGTGCAATGCTGTGCAATAGAAAATATTTAAGTATTAAACTTTAAGTCTTAAAGTAAGGTGAATTTTATTAAGAACTTTTAATTAGAATTAAATTTATGAAGAAGAAAAATAAAATTTATAAGAAGAAAATTGATTCATCAAAAAATTACATTATTTTCTCAATTAAAGCAGTTGGCTCAAAATTTATAATTCCATATTCCAGAGTGCTATTCATAATAACATAAGCAAAAACACAAACGAAAAAATAAGGAATTGTAGCAGCAAGAGTCAAAAGACTGGCACAGGGTATATCTTTTCATGGATTACACATAAATCATTGTAATTTGGAAACTATAATATGACTTACAATTTTTTTACATTTTTCTTATAACTGTTGCAACCTAGCCGATCACCTGGCGAGTTTTTCGGTTTTCCTTGTGTGATAACGATTCTCTTTATATACCGACAAAAAACAAAATGCAGTTGGATGCATTCACATTGTATACAGCTCATGATCATAAGTCCCGTTGTTATTCGAAATTGATCGAGCTTCCTCGAAACGTTTATGTATTAGAGAGCTTTCTAGTTTTTTCTTAAGAATCACGATAGTATTTATATAAAAAATGGAGTTATAGTTATTATTCAGTTTTCAATACGATATATATTGTAATACGATATTTGATAACTAGTCCTATTCAATACTTTTTCGAACTGTCAAAAACTATACTTTTCTATGAGTTTTGTACGACATTGTGTATTGTGACGTCACGTTTTTTTGCGTCAAACAGCGTACTGCGTAGGTATTTATTTCTTAAAAATTCCCGGAGAAATATTAAAATTAAGTTGGTCATAAAATCAATTAATAAAAGTGTGATTATTTTTTAATATTTTATTGTATTGAACAGTCGAAACAATATTTTTGACTAGCTGTTGCCCACGACTTCGTCCGCGTAGAATAATGACTTCAGGACGAATTTAAGCTTTTCCATAAGTCTATAACAAGGAATATTCTACGGTAACGAATGTCGTCAGTACTAGTATAGGGCTACTCCCCGTAGATGACAGCATGATAATATGTAGCCTATATGTTGACCTGACTTGATAGTAATATTCATGAAGCAAATCCATGCAGTACTTTTTGAGATCATTCCGGACATAATACAGACAAACTGGTTCGTCTGTTTGTCAGACCAAAATTCCAAAAATCATACATTTGGCTTCGGCATCGATAGTAAATCACGCCCCACGTATTCTTTTAAAAAAATATTAAATGTACAGTTTGACTTTTCTACGATTTTATTATTATGTATAGTTAAAGATAGATTAACTTAATTCGTAATTTTTCTTTTAAAGTTGTATTATAATCGTAGTTTTTTAGAGTAAAGCTAAATAATAGCATGGCTTACTCAAAAACATTACCCTCCTTCTTTGGCAGTCGGGTAAAAATAACATTTAAATATGTTTAACACGCTGTCACAGAAAGCGTAGGTAAGAGAAATAACAATTCA